CCACACTGCTCAGGCTCCAGGTTGCTCTGCCGGGAACTGTCTGAGGCCAGCCCTGGGTTCTCTGCACTTCCCGGGTCTAAGCTGCCCAGGTTCAGGTTCTCGGGTACTCCACATAGGTGCAGACTCGGTCGGGCCTGCGTTTTGTGCCCGTCCCAGCCCGAGCAGCTCAGGGGCCAGGTGCTTGGCAAGCATCCCGTCCCCCATCCCCGCCGCTGGGTTTTCTGGGTGTACAATGGGAGCACCTTCTCAAGTGTGCCGTGTGTCTCTTCTTGGGGGCTGATCTCTGGCTGTGACCCTCCCGGCGGATGCCGACCGTCCAGAATCCCAAGAAGTCTTGGTTAGCAATGAAGCCTGCTTGCAGTTTGGTAGAGGATGCCTCTCTGGGGCCGCGATCGCCCCCTTCTGGCTTTGGCTGCCCCCGCCTGCCTGTCTCTGGCAGGGGATGGGCGGTCCGCAGCCGGCTAGCCCTGCTCAGTCCTTTGTTCTGTGAGCGGGCCTGGGCCTGGCGGTGTCTTAGGTTAGGGCTTTTCGCGGGATGGCTATCCCACAGCCTGGTTTGCTATCTCAAGTTAGTCCCCTCAGATCGCCCTCGGGGCATTCAGGCCGGGTCCTTACTCTAAGCAATGCAGCCCGCGCCTCCCTGCCCGGCCCCCACTTGCCAGTGGCGGAGGCGGGTGTCTGCGCTGCTCCACTGGGCACGTAATCTGTGGGTTTTAATTATTTCTTTATTTTTCCTCCCAGTTATGTTACCCTCTGAGGTACCAAGGCTCCCCACAGACTCACCCGTGAGAGTGTTTCCTGGTGTTTGGAAACTTCTCTCTTTTTTAAGACTCCCTTCCCAGGACGGATTTCCATCCCTACCTCTTTTGTCTCTCTTTTTATCTTTTATATTTTTTCCTACCTCCTTTCGAAGACAATGGGCTAATTTTCTGGGTGCCTGATGTCCTCTGCCAGCATTCAGAAGTTGTTTTACGGAATTTACTCAGCGTTCAAATGTTCTTTTGATGAATTTGTGGGAGAGAAAGTGGTCTCCCTGTCCTATTCCTCTGCCACCTTAGGACCGCCCCCGATATATATGGTTTTTATATCCATTCAGCCTTTCTGAGTCTTTTGTTTGGAGCATTTAATCCATTTACATTTAAAGTAACTATTGATATATATATATATGTTCCTATTGGCATTGTCTTAATTGTGTTTATAGGTTTTTTCCTTCTTTTGTCTTTCCTGCCTATAAAAGTCCTTTTAGCATTTGTTCTATAGTTAGTGGTGCTCAATTCTCTTTTGTTTGTCTGTAAAGCTTTTGATTTTTCCATCAATTATGAATGAGATTCTTGCAGGGTACAGTAATATTGTATGTAGATTTTTGCTTTTTATTACTTTAACATATCCTGCCATTTTCTCCTGGCCTGCAGAGTTTCTGTTGAAAGATCAGCTGTTAACTGTATGGGGTTTCCCTTGTATTTACTTGTTAATTTTCCCTTGCTGTTTTTAATATTTTTTCTTTGTGTTTAATTTTTTAAAATTTTGATTAATATGTGTTTCCACATGTTTCATCTTGGGTTTATCCTGAATGGTACTCTCTGCCCTTCTTCAACTTGATTGACTATTTCCTTTCCCATATTAGGGAAGTTTTTGACTATAATCTCTTAAAAATTTTCTCAAATCTTTTATTTTTCCTCTTCTTTTTCTTGAATCACTGTAATTCAAATGTTGGTTCATTTAATATTGTCCCAGAGGTCTCTGAAACAATCCTCAATTCTTTTTATTCTTTTTTCTTTATTCCACTTTTCAGCAGTTATTTCCACAATTCCTTCTTTCCACAATTCCATCTTCCATCTCACTTATCTGTTCTTCTGCCTCAGTTATTCTGCCACTGATTCCTTCTGGAGGATTCTAAATTTCATTAATTTTGTTATTTGTCACTATTTGTTTATTCTTTATTTCTTCTAGGTCCTTATTAAATGTATTAGATGATTCTTATATTTCCTCCATTCTGTTTTCAAGATTTTGGATGCTCTTTACTATAATTACTCTGAATTTTTTTCAGGTAGTTTACCTGTTTTCTCTTCATTTATTTGGTCTTGTGGGGTTTTACCTTGTTCCTTCATTTGCACGGTATTTCTCTGCCTTTTCATTTTATCTAACTTACTGTGTTTGAGTTCTCCTTTCCCCAGGCTATAGAGTCATAGTTGCTCTTATTTTTGGTCTCTGCCCTTGGTGGGTGAGGTTAATTCTGTGGTTTGTACAGGCTTCACATTGGGAGAGGCTCGTGCCTGCATTCTGGAGGGAGGAGGTATTTTTTCCCCTCTCATGGGCAGGGCTGTGTGAGGTGGTATTTTGGAATGTCTTTGGGAAGACTGCTGATGACTGGGTTTATGTCCTTGTCTTGCATGTTGTTTAGGTGACGCATCTTGTGCCTGGCCCTGCCAGCAGTTGGATAGTACTGGGTCTTGGATACAGGTGAAGGCCTTCATGGAAATTCTCACTAATTAATACCCCCTCAGGTGAGGAGTTCTCTGAAAGTCTAGTATCCTGAACTTAGCATTCCCACCCCAGAGCCTCAGGCCCAATCCCTATTTGGGGAACCAGGATCTCACAAGTTCATTATGGCAGTAATGGGTATTAAAATGAACACACAAAAAACCAAACAAAAACTTAGGGGAAAAAACAATCACCAGACAAATGATAAATGCAAAATCAGACAAACGGTAACAAAAAGGAACATACACACACACAAACATTATAGGAACACAAACAAAACTAATACACCCCAAGGAAAACAAAGTGCAAGAGAGTGACCTGGTGAGTAAAGGAAATAAAAAAATGATATAAACTAATTAAAAACAACACTAACTAAAGCACACAACAGAAAAGAAGACCAAAGCAGAGAGCTAACTGAGGAATAAACCAAAGAAAACAAAATAAACTAACAAGCATAGTGAAAACCATAAAGAAAAAATAGAAAAAACAAAATTAAATAGAAGTATATAAAAAAGATTTATATATATTAAAAAATAACTACACCAAGAAAAGAGCAATAAATAAAAACAAACAAACAAAAAAAACCCCCCACAAAACAGCGAAGAGCCATTTGTAGAGGTAGAAGTATAAGTTCAGTTCAGTCGCTCAGTCGTGTCCGACTCTTTGCGACCCCATGAATCGCAGCTCACCAGGCCTCCCTGTCCATCACCAACTCCCGGAGTTTACTCAAACTCATGCCCATCAAGTCGGTGATGCCATCCAGCCATCCCATCCTCTGTCGTCCCCTTCTCCTTCTGCCTTCAATCTTTCTCAACATCAGAGTCTTCTCCAATGAGTCAGCTTTTTGCATCAGATGGCCAAAGTATTGGAGTTTCAGCTTCAGCATCAGTCCTCCCAATGAACACCCAGGACTGATCTCTTTTAGGATGGACTGGTTGGATCTCCTTGCAGTCCAAGGGACTCTCAAGAGTCTTCTCCAACACCACAGTTCAAAAGCATCAGTTCTTCGGTGCTCAGCTTTCTTCACTGTCCAACTCTCACATCCATACATGACCACTGGAAAAACCATAGCCTTGACTAGACGGAACTTTGTTGGCAAAGTAATGTCTCTGCTTTTTAATATGCTGTCTAGGTTGGTCATAACTTTCCTTCCAAGGAGTAAGCGTCTTTTAATTTCATGGCTGCAATCACCATCTGCAGTGATTTTAGAGCCCCAAAAAATAAAGTCTGACACTGTTTCCACTGTCTCCCCATTTATTTGCCATGAAGTGATGGGACCAGATGCCCTGATCTTAGTTTTCTGAATGTTAAGCTTTAAGCCAACTTTTTCACTCTCCTCTTTCACTTTCAAGAGGCTTTTTAGTTCCTCTTCTCGTTCTGCCATAAGGGTGGTGTCATCTGCATATCTGAGGTTATGATATTTCTCCCAGTAATCTTGATTCCAGCTTGTGCTTCTTCCAGCCCAGCGTTTCTCATGATGTATATGAAGCCAATAAAAAGTGTAGTTAAAAATTTGTTTTTAATGTTCTCAAAAGCTTAAGTAGATATAATAATAACAGCAACCACAACAATAGAGAAAAAATCCAAAATCAACTCTGGAATGAATCAAAATATAAGAATAATAATAATATTTTTCTCAGGTCTTAGCTGTCAGTGTCCTTTCCCCTGCCGTGAGTTATAGCCCACTTCTGCTTTGCTAGGAGGCCCTATAATATTGGTGTGGGGGTGGGGGGCTGGTGTCTGGATCTACTGTGGGGACAGCTCAGACTCTAATCTGGCCTTAATCCTGCATATTCTTGCCTCTATTGTCTACAGCTGCTAGAACTGGAGTGCTTTATTTTGTGGGAACATTCATTGTCCTTTTATATATTCCATAGACACAGCGTCTACGTAGTTTGTTGTGTGGATTTAATATGCATCTTGTATAACTGGTGGAAGGATTTTCAACCCTCTTCCTTAGCCACTCCACCCATGAAGCTCAATTGTGGTTTTATCCCTGCCTCTGCTTGTGGATCATCCACATAAGTTTTCTCCTGAGGCTGCGCTGGAGGACTTGGGTTTGCCCTAGTGAGGACCGAGTGTGGAGCTGGTGCAATTGCTTAATCATGGGGACCCTGGGAGTTCCTGGTATTCAGGGAAGCCAGCGACCATGGGTGCAGAAGATATTGTGCTATTAGAATCTTTTCCTAGCCTCTGGAAGCTGGCATTCAAAGGACCTCCCTGGCTGGTCCTTCTGTATTTGTTGGAGCATCCGGCACTCAGGAGCCACCTTTCTGGGATCTTTCTCTATTAATCAGCTCCCGGCACTCATATATGGGGAGAGAAAGGCGACAGTGATGGCGCCACCGACTGCACATGACTCGGCAGTAGCACCCTGCCTTCGTGGCTGTGTACCTTTCGCTCAAAGGCGTTCGCCGCCACAGTCTCCTTTCTCCCATCCCTTGGGCCACCTCCCTGCAATCAACAGAAGCCCTTGTCCTGGGATTGCCCTCTAATGCCTAAGCTCCGGCTCCCGGCCGCTATGCATTCCCATGGACTTGAATCCTTTTCTGGGGTATGAGGTCCACGGCGTGGATCGCCCGCATAATCTCACTCCGTTCAGACTGGCACAGCTCAGCGGCTTCACTCTTCAGCAGCCGCCTCCGTCTCAGCTGAGTGCCCTGGTGCGGGGATCTCGGCCCTGCACCAGGTGCAGCTCTGGCTCTGCTCACTGTCCTCTTTTCCCTTCCTTCCTTCGTCCTATCGAATTTTGCGTGGATCTGTATATTACTTTCCATGGTCAGGGACTCCTGCCAGCTTTCAGCTGGTGCTCTGCGAGATCGTCTTCACCTAAAGATGTTCCTGATGCATCCATGGAGAGAGATGTGCTCCATGCCCACTTACTCCTACTCCAGCTTTCTCTCTCTCACACACACACAAATTACAGTCTTTCTTCATCCAAGGAGACAAATATCAACTTATTTTTTTGACTTTTAACCTAAAATTTGTTTACTTTTTTTTAGTTAGCCCCATTAGAAGGATGTATTTAGCATTTCATTATAAGCAATTGAACTGGCAAAGTGAGCCATTTTTTTTAGTTTGAAAATTGAGCTGCCGAGATGGACATATATACTTCAATTCAGTTCAGTTCAGTCGTTCAGTCGTGTGCGACTCTCTGTGACCCCATGAATCACAGCATGCCAGGCCTCCCTGTCCATCACCAACTCCCAGAGTTTACTCAAACTCATGTCCATTGAGTTGGTGATGCCATTCACATATATACTTGGCATTGTCTTAATAAGAATTTAAAAAAATACGTTATTGACAGTGTCGTAGTATACTGTTTGATATATAAAAATATAAATACTTAATTCCTAATAAAGTCAAAATTTGTATGGGCATGTTATATTATAAAATTGCTTAGTTATATTATAAAATTGCTTAGCATTTGCATTACTATTTTCCCAGGGGCAATTGAAGTAGTTCTAATAGTAGTTCTTTACTTCTCACATCTACCACGTGAAGGGCTCAGCAGCAAATACTGTAGACACTGCCTCACAAATTGGAATACTTTTACAGTTTATATTCACATAAACACGTAGACTATAATAAGGAAATCTTACTAGTTCACTGATAAGTGATTATTAGTTCACTGATAGCTCTCTTCATTCTTTATTAATTTGTAAAAGTTTGATCCAATCTATCTGCTCACATAGCTTTAAAACCCTTAAATAATACAATTTAAAAAATCCTGCAATCCTTCCTCAGACCTCTTCCACAAGATTTGTACCCAGAGACACAGTACCGATAAATATATAATACCAGACATAGTTCTGGTATGATTTTCATTTGCAGTGAATTAATTAAACAATATTTATGTATATTTCTGATTTAGTGTTATGGTAAATGAGATCATGATCCTTACGAACCCATACCCACGCGCGCGCGCACGCACGCACACACACACACGTCCCTTTTAACCAACCTCCTGACCTACTGATATTACAAACTTTGATCAATAGTTTTTAATATTATTATGATTATAGCATAGAAACATTTCTGATCTAATTCTCTACTATCCTGTAATTTTTAGCATTATTAGAGATAATAATTTCTTTTTTACTTACATGCTTGGTGTTTAATGTAACTATTCCTAACATTTCCAGTTTATCAAATCTATCAAAATCCTTTAATATAATTTTTAAGCTGATAAAGTTATAAATTTTAAATATAAAGATTACCATGTGACCTATCAGCTTCTTTTCTCCCTCTTGCAAGCTTTCCTGCTGGAGCATATGCCTTTTCTTTTCCCTCACACTCTACTCATGTGATTGGTTGTAGAATTTCCTGTTGACAATCACTTTCCCTCAGATTTTAGTTTCTCTTGATGTCTAATTTTACTACTGAGAATTCAGAAGCTGTTCCTTTTTTCTGTTTCATTTTATGTGATCTAGCCCCATGTCCTTTCAGAATCTTGATTGTTTACCCTTTATTTCTGGAGTTCTGAAGTTTCAAGAAGAAACACGTGGGTGTGTATTTCTTTGTATAAAGTAATTGTCAGGTATTCAACGAGCATTTGCAGTCATGCACTTGGTTTCTTGTTTTCTCTGTTCTTTTATTTTCTTGTTGTTTTTAAAAATGACTTTAAATTGATTTCCTTTTTGTCTTATTCTGGAATGCTATTGAATTAGACATTGGACCTTTCGCATTGACTCTAGTTGCTTTATTTTTTCCATTCCAAGTTTTTTTGTTTTTATTCTTTATACTGGGAAATCCCCTTGACTTTGTTTCCCAAACTTTCCATTGGAGTTTTAATTTTGGTAATATTTCCAAGAGCTTTTCCTTGTTATTTGACTGTTCCAGCTTCACTGCCTTCTGTTTTTGTTCCATATATAGCACATCTCCTTTTATAACTCTAAGATAGTCACTGTACTTTTTCTCTCATGATCTGTTTTCCAGTGGGCTTGCTTCGGTATGTTTTACATTAGAGGCTAATCAAGTGTTGTGCATGCTCAATTGCTCAGTCCTGTCTGATTCTTGGTGACCTGGTGGACTGTAGCCTGCCAAGCTTCTCTATCTGTGGATTTTCCAGGCAAGAATACTGGAGTGGGTTGCTGTTTCCTACTCCAGGGGGTCTTCCCTACCTGGGGATCACACCCCTGTCTCCTGTGGGCAGGCAGATTCTCTGACGCTGAGCCACCTGAGAAGCCCTTAATCTAGTGTCCCACAGTCCTTAATTATGCATTCATATTTGAAGGTAAAGTCAACCAAAGGTAATTGAAGCTCTTCGTGTATAATAGAATTTGTCTGATGTGCTTCATTTACAGTGACTAATCAGTAAGTTGGTCTTTTCATTAGGAGACAGCAATGTTTAGAGTCCTGCTCCCCTGGCCCAGCCATTCAGTTTCAGAAAAGAAGACTCCTCAATCTCTGTCGCTCCAGTGGCTGGAGGTCTAAGATCAAAGGGTCCCAAGATTGTTTTTCATACCCTCACTGCATCCTTGTGTTTAGGTGTGGTCCTCACCTCACTTCTTCACTGTTCTTAGTGTCCCCGTGTTTAGAACAATGTGGGGACATCTTAATAAATAAATAAACATGTGGTTTATTTATTTATTTTTTTCTTGAAAATATATGTGTGGTTTGTTTTCCATGCTGGTAGTGACCTTGTTTTTAAAGGTGGGAAAAGAGGACCAGGGAATATCAGATTCCATATAAATCCTCTTAAGCAATCCTCCATTTTCAGTAACTTCTAATTTCCATGATACCTGGTATTTTCTGATGCTGAGCTTTCCAGGATGCCGTGGCTATAGTGACCCGCTTCTTGTTCTCCCTCTATTGGGGTATTTAGGTAGAAGCTTCCTCCATGAAGTTTAGTTCAGTTACTATTTCTTGCATTTGCCTTATATTTCTTCCTGAAATTAGTCCCCCTGAATATCAGCTGCTGCTATTTCGCTGTTTCTTCTTCTCTTTGAGTGTTTAAAAGCTTTTCATTCCTCTGAAGTCATTTTTTGCTGGTTATTAATGTGGTTTAATATCTTTCCTTGTATTTATGTCTGTCCATGTTCCCTGTTCTCTGAAATTCTTATTTGGTCATTTACATATTTTTTATTGATTGTCTTATAATTATTGATTTGTAGAAATTTTATATTTTCAACATTATAACTTTGATATAATTTTGTAAATATTTTATTTAAATTTGGGTTTTATTCTTCTACTCATTTTATAGTATCTTCTGATAATAAAAATACATTTTTAAATTGAGTCAAACTTATGAATTTTTTTGAGTTTGGGCTTTTTGAATCTTCTTTAAGATAATGTTTTCAAACATTGAATCACAAGGATAGTCTCCTATATTGTCCTCTAAAGCTTTTAAAGTTTTGCTTTTACATTTAAATATTTAACATTTCTTAAAACAAGTTTTATGAATGCCACCTGTAGGGATTTAATTTCATTTGTCATTTTGAACAAATATCTAAGTCTCAGCCCAATTCCTGAAGTAGTTTGCTACTTTTCCAGTAACTCGTAGTGTAACAGATCAAATCTCCATACATGTTTGGGTCTATTTTTATTTTTTAATGTTTTTGTGTGGGGGTATCTTTTTAGAGTATTGTCTTCCACTGTCTGTTTCCTATCCCAAATACCATGATATCTTAAATAGCTATAGCTGTATAATAATACATCTTGATGTTTTATATAGCAAGTTTCTTCACCTGATGTTTATTCTAGAGTCTTGGCTATTATTCCTTTATTCTTCTGTATAAATTTTAAGTATTTTTCAGTATTCTTTTAAAAAAACCTTAAATTTTTTTTTAATTGTATTGAGTCTATAAGCTAGTTTTGGGAAAATTGCAAACTTTAACATACTCAGCCTTTCCATCAGAAACATGGTGTACCTCTCCACTTGTTTAGGATTTTTTTATGTCTTTTAATAAAGCTTTATAATTTTCCCCAAAGGGTTTTTATATATTTTATTTACCTACTTATCTGTTTCCTTGTTTATAGGTATCTTATGTGTTTTTTGGCATTAAAGGGTGTTCCCCAACGCCCCCCCTCCCCCCACCCAGTTTATCAAGATGTGCTAGAAATAAGCATTTTTTGAAATTTCATAACTGAAATATTGTAATAGCCTCCTAACTGGTTCTCTGCTTCCACTTTTGTTTACTTATAGTCAATTTTCCTCACTTAACACATTCTGAAACTTTTCTGTTGTTTAGTGTGCTTGCTACCTGTCTTTTCTCACCAGAACTCAGCTCTCTGAAAGTAGAAACTTGGTCTTTCCTTGTCAATAGTGTATCAACAGTGTCTAAAATAAAGTGGTCATTTTTTTAAATTGCTGAGTCAGTGAGTAGGTGAGTCACATATATTGTTAATATTTTAGAATGTATAAGTCCACACAATGTTTTGACTCCTCAAAAATAAATAGATTCTCTTGGCTATTAATTAACCAGCATGTGCTGAGACTGTGGAATTGCAAACCAAAGGATAGTATTTATGGGTAAAAAGTAATATAAAAGGGAATGGTGACCACTTGACTGTTCTTTTCTGTTCTCTGGATACATTCATTTGCAATTTGTCTTTGAACATGGGGTATAGACTAACATGGTTGATCACAGGTGACCTAGTTCCACCTATCATCCAGTGTTCCAAACCCACTATTGCATCTTTGTCAAGCAGCCACAAGACTTCCATTTGAACAACTTCAGTAACAGGCAGCACACTCTCTCCCCAGGTTGCCATTCCATTTTCAAGTAGCTCTAATTATATTAGAGTTCTTCATACCTAACTAAATTTTGCTTCT